TGAACTCCTGACCTCAAGTGATCTGCTTGCCTTGGTGCTAGGATTACAGGCATGAGCCATGGTCTAGACCAATAAAACTTAGTAAACAAATTGTGTTCACTACCAGCCAGACTGCTGATAACATGTCACACACGTTGCCTTTCTTATTTCCATTTGCAGACGAGGAAACAGACACAGAAAGGGTAAGGAACTTGCCTCAGGTAGCCCAGGTGTAAATAGTAGAACTGAGATTTAACCCAGGAGGGTCTGGCTCCCAGACCAGACATGATCCCAACACTCACTGCTTCTCAAAATGCAAATTCTGGGCTCACTCTAAAATCCAGCCCTGGCGGGCCTCTGTGCTAGACCTATACCACCCCAAAACCGGGACCGCTTGGCAGCTCTGAGGAAATAAAATCTCTGCCCAGCTCTGTCCCTTTTTTTTCCCCTCCTCGAGATGGAGTCTCGCTCCTGTCACCCAGGCTGGAGTGCAGTGGCACAATCTCAGCTCACTGCAACCTCCGCCTCCTGGGATCAAGCGATTCTCCTGCCTCAGCTTCCTGAGTAGCCAGGATTACAGACGTGCACCACCATGCCCGGTTAATTTTTGTATTTTTAGTAGAGATGGGGTTTCACCATTTTGGCCAGGCTGCTCTCGAACTCCTGATCTCAGGTGATCTGCCCACCTCCCAAAGTGCTAGAATTACAGGCGTGAGCCACCACGCCTGGCCTGCCCAGCTCTGTTCTTTCCTTGAATTCTTCACCAGGTCTGTGTTATGCTAGGATGTGAGCACACTGTGAACGTGTGAACATGAGCATCCGCGTGTGTGTATATTGGTGTGTGCTGTGGAATCCCAGTGCTTGTGGGTATGTTCCCATGTTGGTGTGCAGGAGTCTCAGCTCACTCGAGTACCCTAGTATGCATGTATTTCCTGGTGGATGCCTGTGCACACGTGTCCCCATGTGGGCACCTCGTGTGTCCCAGTGGGTGTGTGCATGTGCCCATGTATCCAGGTACGTGTGTGTCCACTGTGTGTCCCTTGTGTGCCCATGCACAGCCGAGTGTATCTTGGTGTGCCCGTGCATGTGTCCAGGTGTGGGTGGCTGTCTCCACACGTCCCACTGTGTAAGTGTCCTGCTGTGTGTATGTGCATGTCCTGCCATGTGTTCACATGTGCACACGCTAGGGTGTGTATCTGCATCTCCAGGTATATGAATCTCGGCATGTATACCTCAATATATATGTGTGTGTGTGTGTGTGTATTGAAAGGTCTATGGTGTGGGTGTGTGTCCCTACATTTCCCCATGTGAGTGTCCTTGGAAAGCCTGTCTCGGTGTGAGCCTGCATCAGTATGTGTGGGGGTCTGTGCGTGTATACATGATCCAGCATGTGTGTGCATATCCCTGTGTGTTTGTATGTCCCTGTGCCTTGGTGTGAGCCTGTGTCAGTGTACGTGCAGGTCCGTGCATGTACACATGATCCAGTGTGCGTGTGCAAGTCCCAGTGCAATGGGTGCATGCTTCAGTGTGTGGGGCGTGTCCCGTGTGCACACACGTGCGCTCAGGATGCATGTGTGTGGATCTTGGCATGTGCATCTCACTGCATGTTTTTTTGTGTGAAAGGACAGGGGTGTGTGGAGCCTGGAAAAAGCACATTTAGTGTTTCCCTATATTTGGGCAAGGAAAACAAAGCTGTCTGTTTTCTTAATACAGAGCAGGGCAAGCGGGCTGGGCTGGGAGAGCAGGGGTTATAAAAAGACTAAGAAGCTCTCGGGCACGTGGGAGGGGCTGCCTGCTGGAGGTTCCCGCCTCTGCCTACTGTGCCCAAGAAAAGTGGTGGGGGCACAGAAAGGGCAGGCTCGGGCCTGTCCCAGACCAAAGCTGGAGCCAGAAGCCTGGTCACGCCCTGCAGGGCTGTGGGGCAGGCTGGTGCCACTTGGCTGGCAGAGAGCCCAGATCTGTGAGCTGCTTCCGGTGGCCCCGCCAGGAGAGCTGGGCCAGCATGAGGCCTGGGTGCTGAGCAGTCCAGACAGTAATGACCCAGTTGGTTCTGTGTATGGCTGCCCTGGGGATGCGCCCAGAATGGCCAGCCTTCCCTGTTTTCACAAAAAACAGAAACCACATCACAAAGAGAAGAACAAGTAATTTTGAAAGAAAAATAAATTTTAAAAAAGAAAAGAAAGCGGGAGGAGAAAAAAAAACAACGCAAAAATCTCCAACTTATGAAGGCTTACTTACACTTCAGTTAAAAGTCTGTTTAAAATATTCACTCTTTTTCATTTTTAAAGATGGAAAAATAAAATCATCCTCAAACCTGTGACCCTTATTGAGCTGATTTCACTTTTCCAACATGATTCTAAAGCTCAGTCATCATGCTCAAGCCAACCCTCCCTGAAAAGGTAAGAAAACAGAGCTGGGAGAAGACAAGACAGGGAGCGTCGGGACCTGAGGGAGATCAAACACCAGCTCCAAAGCATCAAGAAGCCGCACTTCACCAACATGAAGGACTTCTGTTCATTGAAAGACACATGAAGAAGACCGGGCGCAGTGGCTCATGCCTGTAATCCCAGCACTTTGGGAGGCCGAGGCAGGCAAATCACATGAGCTCAGGAGTTCGAGACCAGCCTGGCCAACATAGTGAAACCCCGTTTCTACTAAAACTACAAAAAAAATTTAGCAGGATGTGGTGGTGTACATCACAATCCCAGCTACTCAGGAGGCTGAGGTATGAGAATCACTTGAACCCGGGAGGCGGAGGTTGAAGTGAGCTCAGATCGTGCCACTGCACTCCAGCCTGGGCAACAGAGGCTCTGTCTCGAAAAACAATAAAATAAAATAAAATAAAACAAAATAAAATAAAATAAAATAAAGGCACCATTAAGAGAGGAAACTACAAGGAGGCAACTGAGTATGGCTCAGCTTGGGAAAGAACAAAGTCCCCGCATACACAGCAGCACGGACCAATCCCGCAGAGGACGTGGGTGAAAAGAATTCGGCCTCCAAGGCCCATGTGAATCTCAAGAGCAGAAGCGTCAGAACTGTGGTGACCTTTGGACATCACCAACTGGGAGGGGCACTAGGGAGCCTTCTGGAGTCAGAAACGTCCTCTCTCTTGTTCTGGGGGTGGTGACACAGGTGAACAGAGTTGTAAAAATTCATGGACTGGGCACAGTGGCTCATGCCTGTCATCTCAGCACTTTGGGAGTCTGTGGTAGGCAGATCACCTGAGCTCAGAAGTTTGAGACCAGCCTCAACAATGTGGCCAGACCTTATCTATACAAGAATTACAGAAATTAGCCAGGTGTGGTGATGCATGTCCCAGCTACTCAGGAAGCGGAGGTGGGAGGATCACTTGAGCCCGGGAGGTTGAGGCTGCAATGAGCCATGAATGGGCCACTGCACTCCAGCCTGGGTGACAGAGAGAGACTCCGTCTCAAAAAACTAAAAAAAAAAAAAAAAAAAAAAAAATCCGTCTCAAAAAAAAAAAAAAAAAAAAAAAAATTGCCCAGCTTGTACACACGAAAACAGACGTGTAATGATCGGAGAGCTTACAACGTGATTAAACCTCACACCCACTGACAGCAATGGGGTGTGCTGGAGGAGATTTCAGAACAGACAGAGCACATTCATGGAAAAAGTGGGGAATCACAGCAGTCTGGGGTTTCCTTGGTGGGAACAGACCCACTCAGCCGCTCGCTCAGGGCCAGTGCTTCCTGGTGGCACAGGACATTCACGGTTGGGAAACCCTGGTGAGGGCTAGACAGAAACACCCTCTATTAACCTTGCAATCTTTTTTTTGGTAAATCTAAAATTATTCTGGACCGGGCACAGTGACTCATGCCT